CACACACACACACACACACACACAGAAAATAGGCATCGCGCACAATGCGCACCTTGCAGTGGTAGCGCGTCCCCATGCGCTGCGCGCACGGCGCACCTCGTGCGCGTGCGCGCGCACATGCCGCATGGCGCAGCGCACCGCATCGCGCACCGCACTAATGCGCCGCAAGTATGGTCTGTTTGTGTTAAAACCCCCTACCTTTCACCAAAAAAAAAAAAAAAAAACACTACCTTCCATGGTCTAGGGAGCCCGACGCATCTTACCATGGGCGTTCTCCAGGGGCTCTCGACCTCACCAAAAAAAGAAAAAAAAAGATATTGCTGAACCAATGAAACCGGTGCGCAGCACAAATCCGCCTTGAGACTAAAGAGGCTAGGAGGTAGTGGTGGTTTAAGATGTCGCCCAGCTTTTGGGTTAAATGTTAACTGTGGCGAGGGCACACTCACACTTCCACTTTCCTTTTTTTTTTTTTTTTTTTTTTACAAAAAAAAAACCGCCGGTGATAGTGGCGCTGATAAGAGCAGACACCACTACCACTCGGGGAGAGGCCCCATCTATTGGTGGGAAGCATCACCTGCTGGAAAACGGGTCCAGCGTCCCATATACAGACTGTAATCAGATAAACAATGTAGAGACCCCTGCCAGCATTGATTACCTTGGATTCCAGGGGATTGACTGAGCAGGGCATTGGAAAAAAAACAGAAATAGACCTGCCACTGAGCAGGTTGTGGTAGAAAAAAACTGAGATGAATGCTGTCTTCAGAAGATTGTCTGCACAGGATGTTGAGCTGCAGGGAGTAAACCTCTTCACCCTGTACCAGGCGCCGAATTCCTGCTGCTGAAGGACTGGTTTCCCCCTGAATGCCTGATGGTCCACTTCGCCCTGTACCCGGCCAATTTTCTGTTGTTGAAGCCTCATTTTCCTTCTCCATTCCCGTGTCAGGACAGGGGTCCGGGAGGGACCACTGGGGGGCACCAGTGTTTCCTTCTGTTCCCTTGCCTATCCTTCCAAAAGGACCCCTCCTCAGCCGCTCTTCTGCCATCCCCCTTTGCTGCGTCAGATGAGGTGGGATAAGGAAAGGGAGACGGACTAACCGGGGTCTATACGGAAGGGCAGAAGGGGCACCGGTTACAGGTATACTTCCAAGGACTGTGGGCAGGGGGGGAATGGGTCTGGGAATTCATTCGCAGGTCTCATAGGGATATTGGGGTCTATTGACAGCCAATCCTTGAATCTCAATCGATAGTCCCTTGGTACTTCCTCTCCGTGGCTGCTGCCCTCCCCCCCTTCCTCCTCATTCCAACCCCCCGTCCAGCATACCTCCGCTACCCACCCCTCTCGGTCCCCGCCCAACCATTCCCTGGAAAACTGTAGTAGTCGTACCTGGATGTCTTTGGAACTATGGAGGTTATCTAGTGTTTGTTTCATTGAATTCCATCTGTGCGGGAGTTCCAATTGGAAGTGTGTTTTGAATTGTTCCATCCTTTCCTCTCCTTCTACCCGAACTTGGTCTAAAGTTAGTATGCATCTTTGCCACCGCAAGACCCACAGAATCGTTCGTCGGGATAGGTGGAACATGTTGGACACAAAAGTATCGTCTTGGAAGGGAGGGTAATGGCCTGTTAGGATGGCACGACAATCCCATGGCCAAAGGTGCCCAGGGACCATTTGTTGCCACACCCTGTCCCACCACCTCCAAGTTAGAATGGCTGCAGGGCATTGTAGGAATATATGCTCGATTGTCTCTACCCTTTTCCTAGCCGGAAAACCCAACAGACAACGAGAGCACCAGGGGAGGGCACGGCCCTGCTGTTCTAGCTGTGTATGGTCGATCAACCATTGTTGGTTGGCAGGCACCGATGCAAGATTTGCCACTGCAAGGATGTAATTTTTGCTGATTTACATTTGGTGTCGTTGAACCATCAAATTGGGGCAAGGAGCTGCCTATATCCACATTGAGGTGTTTTTGCCAACGATCGATCACCGTGTATTTTAAACAGCGCTTTACTCTGAGCACTCGATATGTCGCCTTAACCAAGAGCCCGGATAGTGTTTTGTGTTTGGTTTGTCGAGAGATGTTTCGCGGGTCGGGGTTCCAGACCCATTCCAACGGGTCCATGGGGAGGGCCTCTAATGCAATCTCAGGAAAAAAGGCCCGCCGGTTTTCTCCATCCTCCAGCACCCTGATCCTGTTTAGAACGTCTTTCTGAATCCATTGGAAGGGTTCCGGGTTACCTACTAAACCCCCTCTTCTTTCAACACTGTACCATTCAATCAGCTCCTCCTCCGGTCGGATTAGGTCAGGCCCACCATGTTGACATTTCCTTGCATGGCCACCCAATCGCCCTCCTTCAACACCTTACCTCTGCGAAGGGTGGGCCACCACCCTACCGGGAGGGCTTCCGTTATTTCTGCAAGTGCTGCTTCTATATTGTGACAATACCTTAGGTCTTCTCTCATCTTTTCCGGACTTTTCCAGTCCAATCTCTCCTTGTCCCAGAGCGCTCGACTTGAATTACAAACTGATGTGGATGTACCTGACCCTAATCACGGCAAGAGTTCAGTCGAAAAAGTCCTACTGTGAGTACGCTCTGAAAGATCCCAAATGAGAGGAATGGTGTGCTTGATAAAGCATGGATGAAGTTTTGTTTTTGATTTTTTCTGAAGGGCGACAGCCTTGAGATATGATCATTGAGCTGACCGGCCCCAGGTAATTCAGAATTAATTTATTTTGTTTATTTTGTCGGATTTGTCCATCTGATTGCATCTGGAGTCGAACTTGGGTCTGTATTTGAACAGTTCATGGGTGTACAGACTGAGCTAGGTGCATTGGTAAAGCATGAATGAAATGAACCTCCATGAAACTCTCGTGTTTTAGCAGCAAAGAAGCGGTGAATATAACTGACCGGAAGTAGAGCCACATTCATTCAAGTTAGTCACGATGCATGAATGAAATTAGCCTAAATGAAACTGTTTTTTTCTCAGCAGCAAAGAACCGGCTGGGCACACACTGGGGCTATGCTGAATGCAACTGACCTGAACTAGAGCCACATTCATTCAAGTTGGTCACAATGTGGATATGCCCTGAGCCATAAAGGCGAAGAGGCAAAACTCCTGAGCGGAACCTCCACGGACTAGACGTATGCCATTCGTGTGGGATCATTCGTCAATCGGGCATCCCTCGTGCACCAAGGACAACAATGCTGTTGATGATCATAGGTAGAGTATAGTCTTCACGTGTATAGATAACAATGTATGTGACAATGTGTGTGTGTGTGTATAGTGTAGTATAGTCGTCGATTGTTCATCTCTTGTGTTATGTATCCAGCACCAAGGCGAACTATACTATACTATATGTACAGTGCTTTGTGGATGTTGCCTTCCAGGCAATGATGCTGTTTAGTATTTACTATATAATATGTATATATTTATATAATAACCCCGTGGATCGTTGCCTGACATGCACTGATGATGGTTATGTGTACCTTTTCTCTTTTCTTCTTGTTTTCGTTTGCCCTTTGCGTGCGTGTGTGTATGTGTCCATGTGTGTGTGTGTGTGTGTGTGTGTGTGTGTGTGTGTGTGTGTGTGTGTGTGTGTGTGTGTGTGTGTTCTATCTCTTTGCGTGTTGCATGTGGTACCAGGGTGACATAAGTACACTGGCTGACCCTTCAGTGGTTGAAGAGCTGATACGAACAAGGGCAGACTAGCATTGCGGATGCATCAAGCTCAACTGTACAGATGTCACACACTGAAGGAAAAATCACAAGTGTGACATTCGCCGATCATTCTGAGGCCAAGGGGGTGACATAGATGATGGGTAAGATGGGTAAGATACTAAGATGGGTATTTCTACTACTATTTCACCTTCCCGATGTCCCCAGCTCCGTTACTTTGTACAGATAATGTTGATGGGTATGACATACTATGATGGGTACGATGGGTATGATGGGTACGATGGGTATGATGGGTATGATGGGAATGTTCACCGCACCTCATGTTGATGGGTACTTGACTGTCCAGCTGTCACGGATCCTTCGGAGGTGAAGGGAGTGACATAAATGATGGGTATGATGGGTAAGATGGGTATTTCACCTTCCCAATGTCCCCAGCTCTTTTTCTTTGTACAGATATGGTACATTCAACTGTCCAGATTCAGCCGGCTCGGCGGATGCGATGATGTGGCAAACTGAATGCCCCAATAGCCGGTACCCTCCCTAACTACGGAACGCTGCAATACCCGCTGCTACCTGCGCCCCCTTGCCTCTCGTGATTGCCCCTAGAGGGAGTCTAAACCTCCCAAACGGCCTTGCCTTGGCAGTTTGGGGGATACCCAGTGCCCACAGTGAAACTGCCATCTGATTCAGGCTTGCGCCACCGTTGAATGGGGGTTTCTTAAGCCCCCAAATTGTTTTGCCGTGGCAGTTTGGCGGATCCTCTGTGCCCTGGCTGAATTTGCCGTTAGGCCTGCGCTGCTGCACGATGGGAGTTTCAGCCATTCTTCTCCGACCCAGCGTGCGTGCGTGCGGCCTGCGTCCAGTACGTCTCCCAGCCAGTATGTTTCAGCCATTTCTCCGAGTACCCGCAAGTTCCTGTCCAGGCAGTCCAGTACATTTCCCAGCCATTTTTCTCCGACCCAGCGTGCATGTGGCTGCAAGTTTTGGGGGCCGTCATTCCAAAGCAAAATGGCTGGCGTTGCGAGCCTTAAGGAGGCCCACACCGGTTTGTTTTTTTTTGGGCGCGCAGGGTGTTTAGAGCCCCGCGCAAAAGTGGCTGGGCAGTACTGGTGGTTTTGACGCCCAGCTGCCTTGCCTTGGCCTTGGTTGAATGGCACTGTTAAGCCAGACCACAGCCCCAGCTCTCCCAGCACCCAAATCGTTCCCTGCTTTATTCCGGACCCTCAATCGCCTGACTGCCATGTCCTGCCATGTTCACAGCATCTCCCGATAGGCGGCATTAAAATGGGCCTTGATAGGATGATAGGGCAGCTAGGCCCAGTTTGGCCGCGGGCCCAGTAGGGCACAATTTGATAGGGTGGCCTTGGGCCCAATAAGGATCAAATTAATAGGGTGATAGGGCATCTACGCCAAGGCCAATTTAATCGGGTGATGCGCAGCTAGGCCCCTATTGGGCCCACTTTGATAGGGGGTTGTGCCTATTGGGCCCAATTCGATAGGGTGACGGGGCAGCTGGGCCCTACCTTTGACGATTGCTACTTCAATTTGATCAGGCGCTCGGGCACCTAGGCCCTTGATAGGGTTATTGGGCAGCTAGGCCCATTGGTGCTTGCTACGTCACAAGTATACACTTGAATCCCCTGTCTCTCACCTAAATGCGCGCCCCCGCTACGCCCTATTGTGCCCAATTTGAGAGGGTGCTAGGGCAGCTAGGCCCTATGCAGCCCAATTTGATAGGGTGATAGGGCAGCTAATCCCCTTGGTGCTTGCTCCTTCACAAGTTCACACTCAAATCCAAATCCCCTGTCGCTCACCTACATGCTGCCCTCCCCCCCCCCCCCCCCCCCCCCCATTTTAAATGCTGTAATTTTGCTGCAATGAGATACCTTAAGCCGCCAAGCCCCCTCTATGACCGTGAGCGTTCTTTGAAAGGCCTTCATGTTTTGTAATACCTATCATCAGTGTCATTATTTGATGTTTTTTTGCCATTATTTGATGTAGTAACTAGTAATAACTAATTAGTGTTAACTAATTAGTGTTCGTGTTAAATATAGCCTACCACCCCTACACACCGATGATAGAGTCATCCATGCTAGTACTGATCGTGAACCCACAAGCTATGTTTTATATCTTGAAGAAACCGAGAATGCGGAAATGTGTCAGTCCTCTTCTATGGCTCCTGTGGAGCTCTGCTGCAGTTACTAAGTGCATATACTGATGGAGTGTGAGCAGTTATCTGGATATCGGACTGCAATTAGGGTCAGCCGTGTCTGTACCTGGCTACAGTTACGTCCAGAGCAGAGTCCAAAAGGTCCCAGCAGTGCGAGTATGCTCTAAGAGGAGATTTTGATTGCTTCAGTGGGTATCCCTTCAAATTTGAAAGGAGGGAAGAAAATCTGCCACAAGATTGGCTTGCGAAATATTGTGAAACAAATGCAGTCTCTTATCGACTTTGCAAAAGTGAAACAAAGTATGATTATCTCACAGAATCATCATCATCATCATCATCATCATCATCATCATATGAGGAACGCTGAGTCCAGTTCTCAGCAAATTCTATTCGGTCACTCCAGGTAGACTGTGAGGACCCCGGCCTCAATCTTCTTATTCGTAATATCAGCCTTTGTTGTTGTTGTTGTTATTGTTTCCTGTAGAGCTCTGCAGCAAGAGGTAGATTTTATTTTATTTTATCTTTTAATGGGGGCTTTATTGTTTGAGGCTTTGAGTGGAATTCCCTTTGATTTTGTATCCGATTGAATGAAGGCAAGGCAAGATTTTATTGCAGCAAAAATCAGTCGTTTTCTTGTTGAAAATTTTGGCTGGGTATCTGTCAAGACAGACAAACCACCTTTTTTTCTTTTTTCTTTTTTTCAGACAAACCGGCTATATCTGGCTGGAGATGACAAATATGCAGCAAAACAATTGCCCACAATCTTCTGGTTTTTTTTTTTTAATCTTTCCCGCTCTTTTTTTCAGACAAAACAGCTATATCTGGCTGGAGATGACAAATATTGAGCAAAAAAATTGCCCACAATCTTCTTTTTTTTTGTTTTTTTTTCCTTTCCCGCTAATTTTCCCTATTCTGCGACTCTACTAGTAGCCTAATATACTAACTCAAATTCTTTTTTCAGACAAAACAGCTATATCTGGCTGGAGATGACAAATATTGAGCAAAAAAATTGCCCACTCAAATTCTAAAGTTTCAGTTTGAGCTGTCTAACATATGCGACTCTACCCTACTCCACTCTCTCTCTCTCTCTCTCTCTCACACACACACACACACACACACACACACACACACACACACACACACACACCAACTGAGCTTGATGCCAGGAGTCGAACTTTTTGTTTCATTCTTTAAGGTGTCATCAAAAGCATATCCCATGTTCTGTTAAAATGGGTAGCTGGCAATTCTCTCTTCCTCAGCTGTTCAATCTCCCGTCCCTCAAGAGCCAGGACAAGCAAGAAACACCCCTCTTTCTTTGCGGATTGCGCGGGCGCGCGCGCACGTGAGAGAGAGAGAGAGAGAGAGAGAGAGAGAGAGAGAGGACACGAAGAAAACTGCTCGAGCCTGAAGCATTATTTCCCCTGCCCCGGCTACGGGTTTACTGGTCCCTCGCACTCTAAACTCTAAAGCAAAACGCGGGTCTCGCATGACGCGTCCCGCTCAGATTTTTTCCCGCGCGGGCCCGATGCACCGTGGGCCCGGTGCTGTTTTTTGACGGCCGTTTTTTTTTTGGGGTTGGTGTTGGGCCATTTATTTTTTGGGGTTGGTGTTGGCGCAAATTTATGAACGGGCTCTTTTTTGGCTACGGTTTTTTTTCGCGCCGCGCCGTCGAAGGTGTCGGCCATGTTCAACCAGGTAGTGTATATTTCCATGTTCTAGCCAAAGATTCATTGGATGTTGCTCATCCTATCGATGGAAGTAGCATGACACGAGCCATGAGGTTGGAGACTCTCTCTCTCTCTCTCTCTCTCTCTCTCTCTCTCTCTCTCT